TGTGTTGATAACAACAAAAACAAAAAATTATTTGGAAGCCGCCATCTTGAATTTATAAATTTTAACAAAAAAATCATGATCTCCGACCTCAAAAACCTCCACTTACCAATTTTGAATGGAATCGGACCAAATCATGTCCGCCATCTTGGTGCAGCCATTTTTTTTAATTTCAACAAAAATTACATAATTTATTGTCACCGAAATCATGAACACCTGCCAAATTTCAAGTCAATCGGAGTTATGGAATTTTTGTTGAAATAAAAATAAATAGCTGCTCCAAGATGGCGGACAAGATTTGGTCCGATTCCAATCAAAATCGGTAAGTGGGGGTTTTTGAGGTCGGAGATCATGATTTTTTTGTTAAAATTTATAAATTCAAGATGGCGGCTTCCGAATAGTTTTTTGTTTGACGATAACTCCGTTGTTATCAACACAAAACTATTACTGCGACACATCATCTGAAAGAGAAAAAAAAGTTATTTGTAACTAAGTCATAGTGAGCTATGACCTACATTTGAAAAACTAAAGTTGGTGATGATATCTCAAATTCTAGAAGAGTTGGTATAAATTCTATATTTTTTTCGAAATCACTTTGAAAAACTGCCATGTGAATGTGAAATTCCTATTTGGATATTTTCATAAATAAAGAAGTTACGGAGGAGACATGAAAATGATCAAAATCTGTTTTTTGCGTATAAAACAAAAACAAATAGATTTTATCAAAATATTTTTTCACATTAAAGTTGGCCTCGACAAACTCTACATTTGGTGTCATTTAACCGACCTCGTATCTCTCACAGTTTAAAAGATACCCATGGTGAGCATGGTAAGTGGGACACACTGTATATAGATCTCAAAATTCAACTAATATTCTTGATGTGAATTTTACACTGATAATCAGATCACAAAGCGTTGTAACTGTCACATCGCCTGAATTTTCAAGTGTGCACAGTCTCTAGAAGCGGTCTCGACACATAAAAAATATCCCCAACACCTTTCAACCCCTTCGACGGATATATCCTCGCAACCCCACTATGACAACATCCCCCATCCAGTAAATAACATAATAAGGCGTCGTGCCAGAACGAGACCTGAAATAGACGTCTCAAACGAGCTTTCGAGATAAACAACCCAACGCGGAACAGTCAATACACAAAGGGCCAGGCTGAAGAAGGTCGTGCGTCTGGGAGCTGGAACGTGGGAGCTATGGGAGCAGAAGTATATAAAAGGTTTATTCGGGTTCCGATATCAGAACTCTTCAAGAATCGTTCTAGAACAGCGTAGAACTAGTGCGCAGTTGTTTCGAATCCTAGGACTGTTTCAGAACGGTTCACAAATTATGAAACCCCGAACGCGGCAGAAGAAAACCTCTGAGAACATAACCTCTATCCAGAATTTGCGAAAAAAACAATAGTTTGGAACCTATATCTTCATTCAAATAATATTCTGAAGCTTCAAACTCTCGTTTGAGCCTATTCACAATATCTCTGGCATCCCTCTGTTGAGGAATAGTGATTATATTCCACCATAGCATTCGTAGCCAGATTTTCAATATGTTCTGTCCCTTGTACCTACATGCATTTCGACAACCACCTGAAATATTCAATGAATTGTGTATCTCAATATAATGGCAAGGTATCCCCATCATAATCCTCCATTCTTCGGAATATCTAACAAATTATTGAGAAAATATTCAAAAGAGCAATAAACAGTAGAATAAGCAAAAATACATCATCATGAAATTACAATACAACAGACAGAATCGAGATCTAAATGAAATGAGCATGCACCAAAAATGATCCCAGAACGGTTCACGATCGAGAGCAGGTACTGGTTTCGGATAGTTCTAGGACCGTCCCAGGACGATTCTGAAAGAACCCGAACGCGTAAAGAGTCAGTCCTAGAACAGTTCCACAAAACCCGAACGCGACCCATTCAACTGCGCAAACTCCTGGCAGTTCTAGAACAGTAATAGTTCGAACCCGAATAAAGCTAATATAAATCCGTTTGTGCTCCAGCGTCGATCTTCGATACTTATCTCGCCTTTGTACGAGCCGAATCCGAAATTTTTCAATGGAGAGATGAAATGGGCAACGTGCCTGATTCAGTCGAATATTTTATTTCATCGTCTGGATGGGATGTATATACCAACACAATTATTTAGCTTTTCTCACACCAACCACTTTCATTCCTCACAGCTTGTCAGCTTTTTTGAATTATAATAATTGAAATCCACGATATATCACCTCTATACAGGGTTTCATTATCAAGATTTCAGGTATTTACTTTTCAGGTCAGAACAATACTTTTTTTCCATAAATATGCATCCGCTAACGCTTTGTTAGCGATCTACAGTTAAAGTTCCAAGTTTTTTTTTCTAGCACCTTTTAGGTATAAGAAAAAAAGCTTTTATTTAAACGCTCTGAATACACAATTTATAAGATCATGAAAGCTTGTCGCGATGATCAATATTTAGATAAATTCAAATTTCAAAAATTCAAACTCACATAATTTAATTAGTACTAGTTCATTTACACAAGTAAATGACTAAGTTTAAATTTTAAAAATTTTAATTTAAATGTGTATAATGAGGTTATATAAGTTGATAGTTAAAATGAAGAAGGAAAATTCTATTTTTTTCTCTTCAGAGCGTTCAAATAGAAGCTTTTTTTATTTTGTTTTACTTTCAATTTGTTTATACTTCTTTAGTAATCGCTGGCTAGTTCAGTATGACGCCCATCTCGCCTAATTACACAAGTCAAAGTTAATCAATCGATGTTACAGGCTTGTGTTTGTGGAAAGTATTATACAGGTGAAACAAAAAGACCTCTCTCAGTAAGGATTAAAGAACACAAGTACAATATCAAGAAAAGACATATCGATAAATCGAAGCTAACTAAATATATCCTTACTGAAGATGGACAACATATGGCAGAGTGGAATAATATCGAAATCATAGGAATGGAAGATAACAACCACAAAATAAAAATCAAGGAATCCGCTTGCATTCTTCTGAACGGAGACAATAGCATTGCTTCGTGTTCAGTTGATATAGATAGAACATGGTATTCACTACTGAAAACTGAACATGAAAATGGTAGTTTCAAGATCAATTAATGAAAACATCCTGTAACTCATTTGTATATAGACTAAAATCACTCATTTATATGCCAACATCAGTATGACACTGAGAAGTGTCAAACTATAAGCAGAGCACAACTTCCAAAGAAAAATATTTTGCATTTTCATGTTGAGAACGGAAGCAGATTCGTTCCCGAAACGTCCAAAGATACCTTGATTAGATTAGATTTGGAATGGGGCCTTCGGGCTATCTGCCTCCACACTGCGACCTTTTCAGATCTATTGTGTCTGCCCTCAACATCGATTAGAGTTCTTCGGCTAGCCCCGCCTTCTCTATGAGACTCCATAGGCTAGCTTTCAGATCTCCTGTGTATCTCTGGGCTCCTGGTTTTTCCTCACCCAGCGTAAGGAACCTTAGTCTTGACAAGCCCTCACAGTGGCAAAGTATGTGTACTGCTGTTTCTTCCTCTTCTTGACAGAACCTGCACAGCAGTTCTTCAGTCAGACCTATCGTACTCATGTGTTTGTTGAGCCTACAATGCGCTTTGAGAAGTCCCACTAGTATTCTAGTTGAACTTCGTTTCTGGCTTAGTTAGATATTCTGTGAATGTTGGCGATGGTTTTTTAATAAACTCTTTAGCCTGTCCCATTCCTGGCGAGTTGTTTCACCATTCTTGAGATTTGGTTTGCATCCATGATTTGATACTAGTCTTTTGTATAGCTTTCGCAATACCACAGAAGGGTTATGGGCCATTAAGAGCTTCGTTTGCTCCTGCTCGGGCAAGTGAGTCTGCCTCTTCATTGCCCTCATATATACCCTGTATGTGCTGGTACCCATGCTAGAGTCAATCTGTTCTGACTGCCCAGTGCATTTAGGGTTTCTAAGCAGTCCCATACTAGTTTTGAGTTAACTTGCATAGAGTTGACCGCTTTGATTGCCGCCTGGCTATATCTGAATAGATTGCAATGGTTTTGCCTTTAAACTCTTGCCTTATCAATTCTTTCACGCAATGATGTATTGCAATAATTTCTGCCTGAAACACCGTCGCGTATTTGCCTAAGCTCAGTGAGATTCTTGTCTTTGGCTTGGCCCCATCAATACCAGCTCCAGATACCTAAGTAAAAATCCGATATTTTGTCAATATATTTAAATTTCTTTCCTTCAAACATTTCTTCAAACAAAGTGTCACTGACAAGCTACTGGATTTTTCTTTTAGGCTCCCTGATAGAAAAATGTGTTAAACGCAGTGACATTTTTGGGCAAATCATCTTCATTTTATAATGTGGCACTATGCCACATTGAATATTTTGACCAAAGAGTAGACGCCTTTCCTAGTTCCTCAAAGTATTTCAAAAAAGTACACTTTTCGAAAAAGATTTCATTTCTGTATTTTTCTAGATTCCATAAATTCTTCGTTTATGCCAATTCATATTTTTTCTTGAAATTTCCGGAAACAAATCCAACTTTCGCAGCTTCTTCCATTATCTCTGTCTCTGGCGGTGTATTTGTCAAAATCGTCACATCTCGCTATATACATCATATTATTTATTATGAATTGTTGGAATAATATTTGATGGCAAATGCGATTTCCATCAAAAGCACTAATGAGAACTACCCTGAAGAATTTAAAAAACTTCTTCTGACAGTTATGACAACTATTCAAAGCTGAACAGCAGCCAAGTTTTGATCGATTTTTGTTGATTCTCCATGGAAATGTATGTGATGTTGGCAAAGTGCCGTGAGAAAAAATATTTCTCACAGTATGAGCTATACATGGTTTTGAAACTGAGTTAGCTATGAGAAATGCGCTACTTTTCATAGCAGTAGTACAAAAACAGTATTTAAATTTTGCTTGATCAAACAATTCCTTTTTCCCGAGTAGGCCAGTGGCGCGTATCCGCAGTTTCTTCTGAGGCCTTCAGAAAAATTCAAAATAAAACTCACCCTTCTTGACGTTGTTCCCCCCATCGTCCGGTACGACCGTGGGCGGCGGGCTGAGCGGTCCTAGAGGAAAGGATGCGGGGTTGCCAGGTGAGTACCAGGGGGAGGGTCGCCACCCCCCCACCGGCTGGGCGCCGTTCAGCAGCCGCAGCTTGTCGTAGACGCTGTCGCCGGTCGAGGAGACCGAAGGGGGTGTGGAGGACTGCTCCTTCTGGGCGGCCAGGTTGCGGAGCACCCTGTTGATCGAGGAGACCTGAAAGGAAATGGGGAAGTTTCCTTCAGATGAATTTTCATGAAATATATAAGTTCGAAACTAGGACAGGACGAAATGCATACAGTCTTTCCACCAAAACTATAATAATAATATTTATTCAATCCTTCGAGACATTACAAAATGTATAGGACAAGTCAAGCGCTTACAAAATGGTTTAAAAATGAAATACATGATGAAATACACAAAATACTATATACTACTACTATAACATTCGGTAACCATTAAATTTTGTTTAGGTCGTTTGAAAGAAGAATTAGAAATTATATTTTCAATCAATGTTGGAAGATGATTGTATAACTTCATTCCCATATATCTAAAACTATTTTCTAGTTTAGTTTCTGGTGTCATAGTGATGATTTGAAGAATTCAGTTGAAAGGTATTGATGTTATTTCTCACATACAGAAGTCAGTGATAAATAAACACGCTGTAGAAATATATTATTTTATATTTTATGAAGGTGGGTTTACAAGTTTGTTGATATTCTAATCGGAACATCTTCCTAATGATCTTCTTTTGTGTCACAAATATTTCAGTTACATCGACTGAGTTACCCCATAAAATGATATTATAACACAAGTCTCTGTATACTAGACTATATAGTAAACATTAATTATTGCACTGGTGGGCATGGTGTCTCTTATTCTAGATATCGCATAATATGCATTATTTAATTTGGTGTTAACAGCGTTAACTTGATCTATCCATCGAAGATTGGAGTCAAGTTTCAAACCCAAGAACTTTGTTGTTGCAGTTGATTCAATCATTGTTTGGTTCTCAAAATTTATAGTAAGAGTATGTAAGTTGTCAACTATATTATGGGAATGAAAATATACGCATTCTATCTTTTCAACATTCACCATCAAACAGTTGGACTTGCACCAATTCACGAAGGTTCGTACAGTATATCCTTGATAGAAGACATGAGTTCCTCCGAGGTCTGTACAGAGACTGCCAATAATGTATCGTCCGCATATATGGTTAAAAGGTGATATTTTAAATGTTTTGGTAAGTCATTTATGAAAAGTAAGAATATTAAAGGCCCTAACACAGATCCCTGAGGAACTCCTCTTTCCATAGTGTAAAAAATTCTGATGTGGCCTCCCCTACTTTTACTAGCATCTTTCTATTGGTTAAAAAATCTAATATCCATTCAAGAAAAATCCCTCTAAATCCTATATTGTATAATTCATTTCCAATGAATTTTATGTGAACACAGTCGAAAGCACGTGATAGATCAAAAAACAGACCTGCCACGTGCTATCCGCTGTCCAGTTCCCTGTATACGTATTCGAAAAAATTGCATGCAGCAGTTTGTGTTGATTTATTTGCACGAAAACCATGATGGTGCGAGGTTATTAAATTGTTTGAATCCAAAAAATATATCATTCTGCTATAGACAACTTTCTCGAATATTTTAGATATAACGCACTCAGCACCGAGACTGGTCTATAATTGGAAACATTCTCGGGATAATTTTTCTTATAAATTGGGATAATTTTTGCTAATTTGAAAGATGTAGGAAATTTGCCCTCTATAATTCATTGAAAAGTTAATAAGATAACATAAATGACAAGAAAGAAATTTGATGCCTGCCTTCAAAATTTTTGTTGAAATATTATCGATGCCCGTACTAGATTTGTTTGGCAAGTTATTAATAACCTCATCAACTTCTTCAGGAGTCACAGGTGTGAAGAAAATGTATGTACGCTGGTTGAACATATTTGGTGTAGTACATCTTCTGTAACATCAGCAAAATATTTTGAGAATATTTGCTACTTCTGGAATATCTTCCGTAAGATATATTATAGAGTCATCAGCTGATTTTCATTAGTTTCCAGTTCTACTGATAGCAACTTAGTTGCCAAAATAGGTATCAAGAGTTTTCAAAATATCATTGAAACCGGACCCTATTGACATTATCAATATCGGTAGTTCTTCGTCTTCGTTATTATGTTTTTCAAATATTAGACATGCGTTTTTCTGTTTGCTCAGTTTAACATCATATCAAAATTAAAGCCTGAAACTCTGAGGACTCAATATTCGAATGAAGTAGAAGCGGGAAGCGTTGAACCAGCAGCCATGCACACATATCCTTGATGAAAATAGAGAAAACACGTTGGATTACAAGACAATATAATAGTTTCGTTTCGTGCTCTGCTTCCTGACAATCCTGACCTGAGGGGTTTACTTTCCAAAGGATGAGAATATTCTTAGCGAGGCATCACCGTTTATTGGACGCATGCAAATATCCATGGCAACGTGCCCTCACCAGGGCCCCTCCGCATGTCTCTATTCCCCAAAACAAAAACGTTATGGATTTTTCAGCTAAATGCGCAAGTACCTTCTTTCTTAAAGCGAGTCCCTACTCTAATTTCGTAAATGTCTTGTTCCATCATACGGAATTGCCTTGTGGGAGAGTTATCTGTGGCATTTCTTCATTCCTCGGGATGCTTCCTCGACATCGGGATCACTTTGAAATAATAATAATAATATATGGTTCTGGCCTTTTATGACCGTCCTGTCTCTCCAACAAAGTTATTGAGTACATTGACTTATATCATAGACAAGACGAAAGAATTCTAGGGAATGAATTAGTTATGCTGAATAATATTAGCCCATTAGATACTAGCGTTCCATATATGGAACACATGAACGTACAAGCTCTGAGCGCGTCCAAATATATTTTCAATAGCAGAATTTTCCCCAGGCAAATATTTTTATCTCGTATAACACCTACATCTAGCACTGACTCATACTCAGCTTCTTGATAATACCTCCAGCTCGATTCAGATTATTAGATTACCATCGTTTTTACTGTAGACGTGTGAAATCTCGCGCCGTGAAGTGTAAGTACATATATTTCTCGAATACGACTTCACAATTGAAAAAATCTCTTCATGTTGAAAACGGGAGCAGAATCGGTCCCGAAACGTCCAAAGATAAGTGAAAATTTGATATTTTTTCTATATACCTTTATTTCTCTTCTCCAAAAATTTTTCAATACAAATTGTCACTGACAAGCTAGTGAATTTTTCTTTTAGGCTCTCTGATAGGAAAATTCTTTAAACGCAGTGACATTTTGGGGCAAATCATCTGATTTGTCCTTACTACACGTATATTGAAATAATATTCATATTTTTAATATTTTTATTTTATAGAAACGAGGAGAGAAAATCCCAAAAAAATTGGAATAATGAGCTTATAACATACCTATTGTGTGCTATTGTATTGTCTGTAATAAACAATGAAAATAATTTTTTATATCCGATTAGATTTTGTGTTTTTCATCGTGTTCCTTATAGGGAACACTAGGCTTGTAGGATGCTGAATGTGTTCAAAGTTTGTCAGTCCAAGACAAAACATGTGTGTCATATAAATTTCATTTCGATAATTCATCCACTTCTGTGAAATTTCTTCAACTTCTGATGCAAAGGCGCTATGATGGTTCTGGCACAGAGTAAGAAAATATAGGATTTCTCCTCATTGTCCAATAACTGAGGATGATAAATGAAGAGAAGAAACTTGGTGAATTTGATTACGCCTCATGTTCTACGGTCATGCATCAATTGTGGTTGCTAAATGGATGGACAATTCAGTTGTAACTGTTGCATCGACCATACACTCAGTTTATTCTTCTCTAACGCGAAAAAGATGGAATGGACTCGCTGCATACAAATGTACAGTGAGTACATAGGAGGAACAGACACAAGTACAATGAGTACATAGGAGGAACAGACTAGATGGACGCGAATATAAATGTCTACATTATTGCTATGTAAAGTTGAGAATTTTGCTAGTCAATTTTCACCTGGCTACATTTCTCCAGGAACATATTCAACAAATTCCAAAATAACTCCAGATATTCACATTGACTGTAGAAATCACCATGTTGAACATGTACCGAATAATAAACGCCGACGATGTCTAGGACACAATCATCAGGCAGCTCTGTTCGCACATAGTGTCGAAAATGCGACGTATGTCTATTTATTGACTATTTCATTCATTTTCTTACGAAATAACCTAATTCATTTTCGAATTATGGAAATATAATACATTTCGAGGTGGAAACAAGTCTCAATATTTCATTCCATTTTCCACATGTTAAAGGACTAGTGTTCCATATATGGCACTGCCGCCATTTTGAAAATGGCAGACGAAAGGGAATGTTAATCGAGTTAACTGATGTTCATTATATAATTTCAAGCAGGAATGAAGAAAATATGTTGAAATTTTCGCGAATAATAATATATTAATTCAGTCCCTAATGGGTTAAATGTAAAAACTTCACAAACGATAAGATTTCCACTAAAGTCTCAAAACACACGACATGTTTCGCTAACACAGTAGCTTCGTCAGGTGAAATACTGATACAATGAACTAAACCTCGAACTGAACCAACTTTCATATATTTCCTACTTTCCCAACCTGAAGGGTTAGTTACCTGTGGACAGTTGGATAAACCTTCATTTTCGAACGGTGTACCGGATACCAAATACATATTATTACCTATACTACGAAAACAAATTCAACAGTGGTGAACTATTGAGGTCTAATTGATCGTAGAAAAAAATTTCAGAATTTTTTTGTTTGTTGATTTCTGATGATTCAAAATGATGGAGTTTCATTCCTTCATCTTTTACGTGTAGAATTTCGAAATTATCATCAAAACTATTGTTTTTTTCAAATATATGGTTGGCGTATGTTGAATTTGTTTTCTTTTTCAAAGAATTCATCTCATGTTCATGAATGCGCTGATTAAACGTACGACCTGTCTGACCGATATATACCTTAGGACAAAATCCACAGTTGAGTTTGTATATTACTGATTTTTCGAATTTATAAGTTTTGTCTTCATTATTATTGATAAATCTTCCCAACACGTTATTTGTTCTATGCTACTTTAAAGTCCTGCTTATGGTAGAAATTAATG